CCGTAGGTTTCCGTTTTCCTTGTTATGCCCATGAAGGGTTTTGATGTCATATTGGGTATAGACTGGTTGTCGTCATACTGGGCTGTTATTGATTGCTACCGCCAGAGGGTCACAGTTTGTACCTTGAGCGGGGAGTGTTTCCATTTCTTGGGGGATCGGGTTGGTAGTGTGTTGCCACCGATGTATGATCCGCGAGGGCGGAGTGAGCTTAGTGGTCTACTTGCTAGCTTTTTGAGTAGTGAGTGTGATGAGACCCAGACTGTATTACCGAGAGTGGTTTGTGAGTATTCGGATGTTTTTCTCGAAGATCTTGTTAGTTTGCCACCTCACCGAGAGATAGAGTTCTCTATTGATTTAGTGCCCGGCACGGCGCCGATTTCTATGGCACCTTATCGTTTTGCCCCAGTCGAGTTGAGTGAGTTGAAGGTTCAGTTCCAAGAATTGCTAGATAAGGGTTTTGTTCGCCCTAGTGTTTCGCCGTGGGGAGCACCGGCCCTCTTTGCTAAGAAGAAAGATGGTGTCTTGAGATTGTGTATCAATTATTGAAAGTTGAATCTGGCTACGGTTAAGAATAAGTACCCTATGTCCCGTATAGATGATTTGTTTGACTAGTTGAAGGGTTCCCGTTGTTTCTCTAAGATAGACTTGAGATCGGGTTACCACCAGTTGAGGGTCAGGGAGGAGGATATTCCGAAGACGGCATTCCGCACGCGGTATGGCCATTACGAGTTTCTGGTGATGCCATTTGGGCTTACCAATGCACTGGCAGTCTTTATGGATTTGACGAACCGGATCTTCCGGGAATTCCTAGATCGCTTTGTGGTCGTTTTCGTGGATGACATTCTTATCTATTCGCCTTCTGAGGAAGAGCACGATGAACACTTGAGAGTGGTGCTTGAGTTGCTTAGAGCCCATAGACTGTATGCCAAGTTTGGGAAGTGTGAGTTCTGGCTAGGTGAAGTCAAATTCTTAGGCCATGTGGTATCCGGGGAAGGGGTGTCTGTTGATACATCCAAGACAGAGGCAGTGCAAGATTGGGCACAGCCTAAGAGTGTTTTTGAGATCCACAGTTTTCTGGGATTAGCCGGGTATTACCGTCGGTTTGTGAAAGATTTCTCTAGGCTAGCTTCGCCGTTGACTAGATTGACGCGGAAAGGGGTCAAGTTTGTGTGGAGTGAGACTTGCGAAAAGTCATTCCTAGAGTTGAAAGCTAGATTGACCACCGCTCCGGTCTTGATTATTTCGGAGAGAGGGTTGGGTTATGCAGTCTATTGTGATGCCTCACGAGAGGGTTTGGGTTGTGTGTTGATGCAAGAGGGGAAAGTGGTAGCATATGGCTCACGTCAGTTGAAAATACATAAGAAAAATTACCCTACACATGATCTAGAGTTAGCAGCTGTAATCTTTGCCTTGAAGATTTGGAGGCAGTGCCTTTATGGGAAGAGGTTCGAGGTATTCTCGGACCATAAGAGTTTGAAGTATCTGTTTACGCAGAGGGACTTGAATTTGAGGCAGAGAAGGTGGATGGAGTTCATAGAGGACTATAACTTTGAGTTGCACTATTACTCGGGAAAGGCCAATGTTGTGGCCGATGCCCTTAGTAGGAAATCCATTAGTGATGTGGCTTGTATAGCCATCCGGGAGTGGGAGATGTTGGGTGCACTGAGCGAGTTTGATTTGCTTCTGGGCGAATCTATTGAGGCTGCGGCCTTGTTTTCTGTTGTTGCACAGCCTACACTTGTGACTCGAGTGTTAGAGGCACAGAGAGGTGACCTTGAAGTAGAATCCCTCCGAGAGAAGATCTCCGGTGGGAAGGTTGAGAAGGGTATGACGGTGTATCCCGACCTGAGTGTGAGATACCGAGACCGTTTGTTGTGAACGCCGATTCTGCCGAGAGGAAGAACTCCGAGAGTCATCATTCACGCCTTGCGGTGCATCCGAGGCACTAAGATGTATCGGGATTTGGGTCGCCAGTTTGGGGGCGGGGTATGAAGAGAGATGTACGTTTTCTACAAAGAGTCCTCTTGTCAGCAGTGAAGGCACGAGCATCAGGGCCAGCGGGTTTGTTGCAACCCTGCCTATTGCCGAGTGGAAGTGGGACATTCATATGGACTTCGTTGGTAGGTCTTCCGGGAACTCGCGGTGTGGTGACGCTAGTTTGGTGGTTGTTAGACCATGACTAAGTCGGCGCCATTTTTTAAATTTCCCTATGCGCGTGAGGGATCGGTAGATCACCTTGACCGACTAGTATATCGGGACATAGTGAATTGCACGGGCCACAGTGACATCGTCTCAGATAGAGATCCTCGTTGTACTGCTGTTTGGCAGAGTTTTGCAGAGTTGCCTTGGCACTAAGTTGACCTTTAAGTACGGCTTATACACCCCAGACTGACGGACAGTCGAGCGTGACTATTCAGCATCCTTGAGGATATCATGCCTTCGAGGTTGTGTCCTTGACCTTAAGTGGACGTGGGAGAGGCCCTGCCCTTGTGGAGCTGCCTACAACAACAGTTTTCAAGTGAGTACCGAATGGCACCGTTTGAGGGCCTTGTACGTCCGACCGTGTAGGTCTCCAGTTGTTGGCACGAGTGGGTGAGCCCTTTTGGTCCGGAAATGTTAAGGGCAGACACGGAGAAGTTGAGCTTACCGTAAGAGGCTGTTACAGCCCAGAGCTGCCAAAGATTATGCCGACCGTAGGAGGCGGCCTTTGGGCATTTGAGTGGGACATGTTTCTTGAAAATATCACCTAGGCGAGGTTTGATGAGGTGGTGAGAGTGGGAAGTTATCCCCTCGGTTAATTGGTCCCTTTGAGATCCTTGAAGGATTGAGGGAAAGTGTGCTTACCCGCTTGCTTTGCCACCACCAATTGTCCAGGGTGCATATGTGTTTTCATGTCAGATGTCTTTGGATACGAGCCGATTCCGCCCATGTGCTGGATTGACCGATTGGAGGAGAGGAATGCCTGTATAAGGAGAGACCGGTTCGGGTCTTGGATAGGCGGGATCAAGCTTGCGAGGCAAGGACTATTCCCTTGGTGAAGTTTTGGGAAGCACCACTGAGTGGAGAAGCCACTGCGGAACGTGATTGGAAAGTCCGTGAGAAGCACCCGGACATTTTGTGATGTGTAAATGCATGTAATAACAATCTTTGTAATAATTATTAACTTCAAGAACCATTATATTGTTTAAGTTGTAAAAACATTGTGGATGTTTTGGTAAATGAGTTATGTTAACATGTAATGTTAATTATTTTTGGGAAATGCAAGCAAATTAATGTTCATGTGTAAACGAATGTGGAAAAGAGTGAAATTGTAAATTCAAAGGATGCCATAGTTGATATACGTGTTATGTAAATTGTGAAATGCCTCTGAAAAGAATGAGATTGAAGGTAATGGGGTCGGATGTTTGAATTTAGTTGTAATATCTGTTGACAACAATGAGAACTCGTTGTTTTGGAAAACTTGTTATTTAATTCGGGACGTAATTCTTTTAAGGGGGAGTTATAAACGATCCCGGTTATCCTTTACGTTTTTGTATTCCGGACTCGGTTCCGTAAAATTGGCTGTTGTATCTATCTTGTTGTCGTCCTAATTCATATGTTTGAGTTTTAGGATGTGTTGGGCATGTTCGAACAGTAGGATGAGTTGTGGTCTCCTGTGTTATTGCCCAGGTTTTTGTGTGTACGCTCAAGCGGGTTCTTATGCGCTTCGAGCGGAGTTGTTTTTGGTTGTACGCTCGGCGGGTATTCTGGCTCTCGGCGGAGAATTGCACACTCCCAGTATTTCGTGTCCCCTGCAAAACTTCGTAGGTGTGATTTTACGCTCGAGGATTTCTCGCGCCGAGCGGTGTCGCACTCGAGCGGTTTGTTGGCGCTCGAGCAAGTAGTAGTCTTGGTAAAGTTCTGGAAGAAGGAAAATTTGCGCTCTAGCGACTGGTTTCTCGCTTGGCGGATGTACTTTATCTTGGTCTTGGCGCTCGAGCGGGCCTTCTTACGCTCGGCGGACCTAGTTTTTGTTCTTGGACGCTCGAGCGTTTGTTTTCCGCTCGAGCGGGAATGTCGTAATCAGTTGGCTGTGGGGCCATTTTTAAATCACTTTTTCTCATTCCTCCTCTTACTTTCCGAAAAACATTTGAGAGCCCTCTCTCCTAGAAACTCCCATCTCTAGGTTGATCTAGTTAGAGTGCTCCCTTTCCTTCGGCCTTTGTTAAAGTTGTGTGATCGTCGAGGGCTATGTTTTGATCCGAGAATATTGAGTTTTGGAGCACGTTGAGTTTCTTCATCTTCTTCCCTTGAGCTCCGAATTTGAGGTAGGGATTCCTACTCACTCTTATGGTCTTTGACATAGATTTTCGGTTGCTTTGATAAAGTGTTGAAGTTGGGAAACTTTGGGACTTAAGGTTTCAAAATGTTGAATGGGGGTTTTGTCATTTTGATTCTTGAAAATATATATTGGGTTTCAAAATGAGATTATTGTTGTTGGTTGTCGATATTTACACCTTTGGGTTAATGTTGGGAAATGAGATAGAGAACCCTAATCTGTTGTATAAATTAATTGGTATAATTAATTTGGGAAAAATTGTGGACTTATGGAATTGAGTTGGAAATAATGAAACTGGCTCGTTATATGGTAGAATGGTGGAGTTGGATTTATTAATCACTCACTTTTGAAAGCATTGATATTTTATCTGCTGGAGCTTTTATTATTTGTTTAGAAATAATTGCTTTGGGCTACCGGTGGAGGGTAGTTTGATTGTTGTAGACAATGAATGATGATTAGGCAAACGAAAACTAATCTGTTGAATGTGCCATTGAATATGGTTGTTGGAATAATACATTAATTTCATGTATTGATTGTTGATGTATATGGCCTATGTGTATACATTGTGTGTGTGGGAGGAGATAGGAGATGGACTCCACGGTTTAGGAGAAGATAGGGGATGAACCTTTAAACCGGATGTGTGTGTGGGAGGAGATAGGGGATGGACTCCGTAGACACAGCTCATATGCTTGTCTAATGATGTGTTGATATAGCTCATATGCTTATCTATGGAAGTGTTGAAAGTGTTGATACAGCTCATATGCTTATCTATTGATGTGTTGATATAGCTCGTATGCTTATCTGTTGAGGTGATTGCTACAGCTTGTAGGCTTATCTATTGTAAAGTGGGAAGATATTTAATATGAGTTATTGTCGCATTTAAAGTGATTGGCCAGGTTCTGAGCCGTGGTTATGAATTGGGAATGGGATAAGAAATGGAAGGTGAAAAGATAACATGTACACCATGGTCATGTAATGAAAATGGTTTATGAATTGGTTTATGTGAGTTAACATTTATCAATTGCTAATGTCTTAGTTAATGCTCATATTGTGTTTAGCATATCTCTACTGGGCGTTGGTTCACCCTGTATGGGACATTATTTTCAGGTACAGGTAGCATGCCACCTCCAAGGACATAGCTTGGATGATTATGGGAGTCAAAGACTCTTTTTAATTCTTTTGTTTGTATTACATGTATATCAAGCCAAGGGCTTATTTTGTATAGAGTTAGTACTCTTCTTTTTTGTAACCAAGTGTTGACTTGGAAAGCGGTAAGCCCTTAGGACATTTGCTTTTGTGGTTAACATGTAATACTGTTGTAAGAATTATCCTGATGAATGGAAATGTGCTAGTTTCTCTTATATCATTACATGTATCAAGTGACGGGTTTTATGTATTTTTTTTGAGGACGTTACAAAAATGCTTGGAGGTTCGTGGTGAAATTCATGAAGCCCATGAAATAGTTTTGCAAAGCTCATCTGTGCTGGTCGGCAGAAATGCATTTTCTACGCACTCTTCTGTTCACTCAGTTTCTTACTTTACTTGATTGGGAAGGATATCCCCGGAGATCCATTAGCAGTTGAACGTGCAACAATACTTTACAACATTTGTTGGTTTACTTTAAAGAGCTACTTTTGCAATGGTACCAAGTATTCTTCAACAGCATCTACACATTTATGTATCCATACAATATATTTGGATATCAAACACAAGTCTGATTGTGTTCCATTATTCCTTATCTATTATAACTACTGCCCTTTCTTCTTTGAATATATGAATATATACATCTATAGCTAGGCATAAATTTGTTTTAATATTTTGTGTACCAAAATGATATCGGAAGCTTGGTTTATCTAAATGAAAAAGAAATGATTTGTTTTGATTCAGGATTTTTTAAGTAGAGAAGTTGGCGAGTTTCTTAGTGGTTCTTTGGCAGGGGTTGTGACCAAAGCTGTTCTCGCTCCTTTTGAAACCATCAGGTTTGCTTTGCTCCTTTTTTTAGCAATTTCTTTTGCATACCATCCAGAAAGAATGCACCTGCATTCACTACTGCATTTGATATTCTTCTTTACATATTTGTTCTATTAGCATTTCCAAAGCTTATATACCTTACATGTTGAATTGAATCCTGTCATTGTGGAGCTATTTTCAACTGACTTGGGCTCTTATCTGCTATGTAACTACAACTTTCCTGGTTTCCAGGTGTTTTTAAGTCTTAACCTAGCTCAGTGTTACTTCTATTTTTGATAATTATGCTAATCATTATGCTGTTTTAGAGCCTTAGATGAATTTGGCTGCTCCATGCAACATTTTCCATGAACAGTCGGTTTCTTTTCTTTCCATCATTGTTCTATTTTGCTTTTTATTTCTCTCTACAATGGCTTGTGTATTGTTGACTGGTTTTTATCATCATCGGATGACTTCAGTTTCTACTACTAATTCTCCTACAGCTGGAAGTTACAGTGATCATCGATTTTTTAGGTAATTGTTATGGTGATTCTTGGGAATTTTGCAAATTTTGATCTGGGTTTTTGATAAATTAGTTTAGTTCTTTGTACTTGATTATGTATGCATGTATATATTGAAAAGTTGGAGAGGAATTTGTGGTAAATTTCCCCCAATATGGTCTTGTTCTGTATTGTGATTATCAGGTATGGTTATAATCGTCGTTGGAGTGAGGATGAGAAAGGGATGGGGAACAATTTTACTCGGACCCAAATTAGGGCTCACAAGAAGAGGAGGTTAAGTTTTTTGCCTCAGGCTTGTTTTGCTCTAGTGACGACAAGAAATTCAACTCTGACCAATTTTTATCAAGAGGTTTGTCTTGTCAACGTTGTAACTATTGATTCCACACTGGTTAAATGAATGGTTTGGTTTGCTTGATTATTTTTTGCCACTTAACATTATCATACTCATTTTTGCTTTAATTATTGCTAAATTGTCGCTCATTTTTCTGATTACTCTATTACCCATTTTGTGATATGAAATCTTGATCAATGCTTTAATATTTACCAGGTGATTGAGGCTGCAAGGGAAAGGTTCACTCGCGAAATATCCTTCCAGTCCAAGGACAAAGACATCTCCCTTGCAAAAGTAATTTTGTTTCTTGTTTGTTATTTTTGTTTTGAGCTAATGATGGTTAGTCGGAGAATGATCGCTAACCCAACTTACTTTCTATTTGTCCTATGAAGAAAGGACTATAATTTGTTCCTGTTTCTTAGTTGTTTTAGTGTTATTGGTATTTTGACACACACCCTCCCATTAGAAGGATCATACTCAAAACGTTGCTTCTTGAATTATTGTTATTTTGTTTGTAATAACATTCTATGAACTGCAGATTTATATACTATCTTCAGATTTTGACTAGCAGTCATGGGTAATGTTCATTGCTGATGGAAATAAAATTAGATGGCAATAGCTAATGGAATTTTGGAAACGATTGGGAATTAAAAGTTAAACTTCATTTTCTTAATGGAATAAAATTTGAAATGTATAGTGTGCAATTATTATAGAATTGGATATTAACTGGCAACCAATTATGCTGCATTAGTTAGTTTGAACTTCATCTGAAACATAGTTGTTTGGTTTGCTTGATTCATATGTATTCCAGTCCCCTGGCCTACTTGCTGCTTTTCTGGTGTGGCTGAGTGCTGCTACGCTGTAGTGGTTGTGCATTGCTGGTCTGAGATGTTGTGCTGGTATTGTTGTGCTATCCTGGTTACTATGCTACCTCTGTTCTGCTGTGCTGCTGTTCCCTGCTGCTGTTTGTAGTGCTGCCATACTGGCCTGTTGCTGGGTGCTGAGTGCTGAGTGCTTTTGTGTTTGGCATGCTGTGCTGTTGTAATATATTTGTCATATTGGTAGCTCAAATTGCTGGTTTTGGCATGTTGTGCTGTTGGTTGCTCAAATTGGAGTGTACAAACAGTTTTTGGATGTTCAAAACTTATGAATAGTTTTTTGATGTTTGAAATAATATTTTGGTGGTTGATTGATACTTATATATATATATATATATATATATATTTGTGAAATTTGTTTGTAATGTTTTTTTAGATTATAGAATAGGTGAAATAGAACCTATTGAAAAACAAATAAATAAATAAATAAAATAAAATAAAATTATACATATTCTATGATAGGCAAAATAAGCTGTTGAGTTAAAGTAGAAAAATAAAATACGACGCACAAGATCCGTTGTTAAAGGGTTTTTAATGGCATGCAAATGTAGTTGTAGAAAAATTAAACATGATGCACAAACTCCGCTGTTAAAAGGTTTTTGCCGGGGAAATAAAACTTACACGTCGTAGAATCATTTCCAGTAAAGAGTCAGCTAAGACTAGTTGCTTAGTCTCACTGTTGGTTGATAGAGCTAGTGCAAATATGTCAAATAAGCTAGCCAATTGAGCTTCGAAGATGTCTAACTCTCTTTCAGAAAGTGGCATTGCAGAAAGATCATTTGCTGGGGGAAGGATTGAAAGCATTTGTATGAGAGAAGGAGAAGAGGATTCATCAGTAGTGTCTATTGTCCTGGCCACTAGCAAGTCTAAGAAAGAGGGATTGGAGCTGGGTAATGAAGGAAGAATTAGTGTACAACCAGTGTTATCTTCAGAAGTACCAGTTGTAACGAAAGAATGAGTGACAACAGGTGTACTCTTAGAAGATAGAGGGGTAGCCAGGACTTTGGGAGGAGTTTGCAAGGGTGAGGAAATGAAGATCAGTGGCAAACTCAAAGGATTAATAGGGCTAGGAATGAGAGAAGATAGGATGATTGGCATACTAGGCCTTAAGGAGGGTAAGAAAGCAGGTATGGAGAGTGTAGAGGCAGGAATTAGGAAAATAATTTGCAAAGGCTCTACACTCATTGACAAATTGGGGTCTACTTTTCCTTTTCCCTTAAGGGCTTCTTTTAGCTTTGCAGGAGTCAAAAGTGGCCTTGTGGTGTCGGGGGTCAATGTTGGGAAAGAGCAAAGCAGGTTAGATGCTGCTGCATTCCAAAATAACAAAAGTGTTAAGGCAGTATTGGCATAAAGGATGTGAAAAACATGGAATGTTATAAAAGCTGAAGGGATTTACCAGCATCAACAGTGGTAGTAGTGATGGTTGGGGAGCTGCGAAGGGTTTGATGTTCAGCAACTTTGCTTTTTCTTGCAGCCTCCTTTTGTGCTGCCTCAGCAGTAACAGCTTCTTCTCTTGAAATTTTCTGTTTCCTTTTCTTCTTTGACCTCTAGAAAACAATGACTTCCTTGGCCTGCTCCTTCTCCACTGCCTTGACAGCTACTTTATGTGCAAAGTCCATAATAAGTTTGGCAGTTGGGGAAGTTGGCTTCTTCTTTCTTTTCAGTGGAGCTTCTCTTCTTCTTCTTCCTCTGAAGAGACCCCAGTTGCCTCCCCTACATGGTCAAGCTTAAGTTGGGTCGTTATTCTCTTCAGCTCCTGTTGCTTCCCCTTTAGTATGTTCAAAGCTTGTGTTCTTTGAGGAGTTCTGCGAAGCTCCTAAACCAATAAAAGAAACAATGAGAAGAGGAGACATTGTAAAAAATGGAAAGAAAGGTGAAAGGAACAAAACAAAGCATATACCTTTCTTGAGAGCAGCTCTGGTGACTCTAAGTGTGGCTGTTAAAGCAGCAAGAGAAGGGGTGGAAGCTATAGAGATGCCAACCTCTTTAATACTAGCTTTTCCTCCTTGGGATGGTACATTCAGCTCTTTCTGCAAGTCCAATGTGGAAGTGGCAAGAGGCACCTCCATATTGGCCGTCCACCAGTCTTGCAATCTTTTCAAAACTCCATTATGGTTGATGAAGGGCACGCATTTAAAATTTGCTAGATCTTGTACTAGTTTGAGTATTGCCTCATCCAACCTGGATATTGGTACCTTTAGGTCTTTGGTATCAAGGTCAGAATTGGAAAGGCTACTAAGAGGGACAGGAATCCCCTTGAGTAAGCACAAACTACCTTGCAAATTGAGAGGGGCATTATGCCTTAGAAATACACTTGTAAGCTCTAGGGGCTAGAGTGCCAATGAAAAGCTCCCTTGGAGTCAAAATTGAGGCCCACATCTCCTTGTGAATTGGCCTAGAGCAGGTGGTATCGACTAGAAAGGTCCTCAACTAAGAATTTATTAGCCTCGAAGGGGCAAAAGAAGGAGGAGAGAGGGGAGATTGGGAGTTGATGGAAGTAGGAAAAATAATAAGCAAAATTGAAAGGGTATAAGAAAACTCTGTCATATTTCTCTCCATTGGTGGTGGGTTCTTGCACCAAGAATTTCAAGTACCAAGAGTGAAAATCAGTGAAATATACGAAAAGCCAAAATTGCAGTACCCAGATAGGGCCTCCTCGGTTGGGCTCTAAGGGCCTCACATAAAATTGGGAACCCTATATACATGACCCAAAACATAAGGGGCCAAGGCTATCTTATTCTTCGAAGCTAGAGCCTTGGCAAAAGGGACAAATTCAGGCATGATCCTCTGAGAAGAGGTACAAAATAGAAATTTGCAAAGCCAATAAAGAATGAAAGAAAAGAATTCTCGATCAGTTACATGATCTTCCTTTTTATTCTCAAAAGCTACAAAATCATTGTAAGATAAGAACGATTCGAAGTAGGAACAGAGAATTAGGCCCTACGGTCTGGGTAATTAGGACCAAAGGGGTCACTAATGGGTGAGAGCCCTATAAGATGGAACATGTCAAGAATGGTGGGGGCCATCATACCGCACCAGAATTGAAAAAAATTAAAAGCAGAGTTCCAAAAGCAAAGAGTAGCAGGTATAAAAAAGGGATCTTCGAGATTATAAACCTAGAGAGTTGAATGGCATCAAGACTGCAAAGATCTTGAAGGTCCCATTCCTTGGCAAGAACAACCCTGTCATACCATTCATCCCATTCTGTCTTCTATGTCGGCCAGCAACGATGAGGTCGATTGGCCTTTCAACTTCCCCAGTTGAGCTTTCCTTCGTAAAGAAGGTGGTGATCCTCCAAACGTGGGTATAAGGCAGGAAGTGTGGTAGGAACCTCCTTAAAATTAGGGTCAAGAATATATTCCTCTTGTGTATGGTGGCGAGAGACGAAGATCCTTCTATGAATGGCACTCCGACCCTCCGGTGCTTTGTATTTGGCTATTTCATCATTTATACACCTCCTCAGAGCCACTGAGGGATGTAAGCGTTCAACAATTGGCATGTTTGCAAAGAAAGAAACAACCATTGGTGAGCAAAGAAAGAGGAATAAGAGAAATGAGAGCAAGAGAGTGAGGATTAAAAGCGGAAACAAGAGCAGGGGCAGGCGAGAGTGAGAGTAAGAGTTAGAATGACCAAGTAAATGGAAAGAGCATGAAAATTAGGGCATTATACCTTTTTTTTTTGTCCTAGTTGCCCATTCTAGTTTGATGGGTCAAGTAGTTCCAAGTTATCTAGGTTTTATTTGACCCGTTTGGAATTTAAGAGCCAATTAGCATTTCAAAGATAGGAAAAGTACATTTGTTTGCCTTTCTATCAAGAAAGGGTCCTTCGAAGGGCATTTTCCTATCTTTAAAGGTAAGAAAGTGTACTTCAAAGTACTTGATGTGGTTTGGGAAAAAGTAAGTTACTTTGAAGCCAGTACTGGTTATGTATGAGCCACTAATCTCTCTTTCTATCATGAAAATTTCCTTCGAAGGGCATTTTTGCTCTCTTTATAAGAAAGAAAGTGTACTTCGAAGCACTTGATTTGGTTTTGAAAGAAATGGGTTACTTCGAAGCCAATATTTGTTAAATATGAGTCTTGAAATTAAAGGCAGAAATATTAAGCAAGTACGAAACCCTGTAATTGGAGCAAAGAAACCCATATTTTATTAACATAAATGTATACATTAGGGGGCCTATTTGGCTACATTCTCAATTTCATAAAAGTAAGGAATGGAAAAGGTTACAAGGTCATGGAACTTTGTCTAGCAGTATTCAATGAACACATACTCTTTCTCTAACCTATCGTTAATCATATCTAGATGGAGCTTCTGCAGCTGATATGCCCTTATTTGGTGGAAAAGTTGGTGGGCTCTCATCTCAAACTCCGTTTGCCTCAAAGCCTTCTCCACCTTATCCATATTCACATCATCCCAATATGCTAAATCACTGTTCTTAAAGGCTTCGTATTCTTCAAGAAGGTTGTCTGCTGTATACTAAGTTTGAATGCGGGTAGTAGAGATTTCATCTAGTGATTCGCTGGTGACCAGGGTATTCTTATGCCAGTTAAGCAAAAGAGGGAGTTGGTCTAGGAAGGTGTGGAGTTCTGTTTGGGCTATTGGGTTGAGAATGTGGCTTCGAGAGACTATATCACAAGCCCATAGGAGGTTCATGTGGGGGACATCATCTCGAAGCACTTCGAAGCACGGATAGGAGAAGACAGCAAACAAGGTTTGGGCCTTATATTGCTGAAAGGCAGTGGAGGGAACTGGAGCTGGATATGAGTGGAAGTGTTGACCTTCAAAGAGGATAAGTTTCAATTCCTCAATCCAATTAGGATTTTGAGGAAAGGGAGGTGCAGATGGGTCCATTCCGAAAGAAGGAGGGAATTAAGGCTCATTTACACACTCTAGCCAGTCAAAAGAGCAAA